TACAAAAAACACAAAATATTTATAAAAATAATTGAAAATCATTAAGGAAAAAAAAGGCAACAAAAAGTTAATTTTCAAGTGAAAGTTTATTGAGAATCAACTGAAAATTATTGAAAATACTGAAAAAATATTGAATATGGTGAAAATTTATAAAACATAAACTATAAATTATTGAAATTTTACTAAAGATTATTCAAAATATACTCATAAATTAATTTTCCTAAATATTAATGAAAAAATGCTGAAGTATAATGAAAAGATACTGAAAGCCCATAGAAATTATGAAAATGCATTACTGAAAAATAACTGAAAATTGTTGAAAAACTAGTGAAAATGCAAAAAATACTAAAATTTATTGAAAATATCTGAAAATTAATGAAAAATACTGGAAATACAGAAAATGCAAAATAACTCTGATAATTAATTGAAAACTATTAAAAAAATGCGTACAATAAATCAAGATTCGTTTAAATTAATTTTGCAATGGCTAACTATTAGGATGTCCTTTTATAACACTAACAAATAATATGTAAAAAACAATTATTTTATTGAATAAATATCGACAATTTATTATTTTTGTTAAAAATATCAATAATTAATCCAAATTACTATATTTCTAAAATATTTTGTAATAAATTATTAAAATAAAAATAATTATTTTAAACAATATCGTATTCCTTATAATCAATTTTTGTTGTTTTAACTTCCCTCGACAAATCTAGTACATCTCACGAGTCCCTATTTTAACAATTAACTAGCGGGTACCCGTGCGATACACAAGATTTATTAAGTGAAAGATAAATAATAAAAATGTTCATTTACTAAAATACCCTTATAGCTTCATGGATTTACTAAAATCTACCATATAGTTAGCATTTTACTAAAACACCACTTATAATTTGCAACAGATTTTATCAATCTTCCATTAAATGGTAGTGGAAAATGATAGTGACGACCCTAATGTTCATTTAAATAAATTAATCAAAATAAAATAGAACTAAAAATACCATTTTTGCCCTTAATAAGACATAAGCAACCACTCTATTGGCTATATTTGACCAATTTTGTTTTCTCTATAAAAAAAGTGTTAAGGGTACTTTTGAAATAAAAAATCATGGGCCTAATGGCAAAATAAACACTTCTTAATGAAAGGTTGATTAAGTAAATAAGTTATAAAATATATGAGATATTTTAGTAAAATGAAAACTATAAGGTAGGTTTAAGTAAATATGTAAAACTATAAGGTGTGTTCTAGTAAATGACCCTAGTATAAACACATAAGAGTATACAATTGTTTTATATTTTTAACTATTTTAATTAATTAATAATTATTCATATTTATATACTACTTTTAATAAATTTTGTTATAATACAAAAAAAACAATAATTAATTTCAGTTAGGTTTATTCATCAAACTTATGAAACCGACCAACCCGATCAACACGACCCAAGTTGGTCGGTTTTCTAGTATTTTATGTTGGCTTTGGTTCAAAAAATTCCCAATTCGGCCAAGTTGGATCAGTTTCACTTTGGCCATTCATAAATCGACCAAAATCAAACGACTTAACCATGGATATATATTAATATTTTATATTTTAAATATATTTTTTAATATGAAAATGTGAGAAATTTCACATATTTCTTAGTCTAAAATGTTTTAGTTCATAAATATAATTTTTAAATTTATTTTTTAATAATTGCACTGTAATTTTTAAAATTTAATTTAATTTTTAAGTTGAAATCTTTTGAATCGACTAACCTCTTGTGAAAACCGACCCAAACCGATACAATTTTAGTGGGTCAGTTTTCACAAAAGGTTAGTCGATTTCAACTGACCAACTGCCCAACCTGACAATGTTAATTTGGTTGGCCAAATAGCCTATGACCGGACCAAACCAATTCTTGAACACTCATAATTTTAGCTAAATTAATAGTCTTATCTCCGTTAAATAAAAATATTTTAATCTCTAATAATTATTGAAAATTGTAGCGAAAATACACAATTATTGAAAATATATTGATAATTAAAAAATACAATAATTACAATAATTATAAAAATACAATAAGTACTAAAAATATATTAACTTGGTCAATAAATAGTATGATCTCTAATAAATATTAATTAGTCAATAAGTTATAACAAAATTACAATAAATACAATGAGTACAATAAATTAAATTTAAAAAATTTAATAATATTAGTTCAATCTCCAATAGTTATTGAAAGTTTTATGTTAAATAACAAAACAAAAAAAAAATTATACATAATCATTGAAAATACATTTATCACAAAAACAATAAATAATTATTGAAATACAATAAATATTAATTTTAGTATGTATAATTATATAATAAAGAAGATTAAGAGTTTAAAATTATTATTAATCAATATTAATTTTTTGAAAGTTATTTTCTCCAATTATTACTTGATATAAGTGAAATTAGTTGTTTACAATATTATGTAAACATATTAAATTATTATTAATTTCAATATTATGTTATAATTATTTTTATACTTTTAAGAATTTCTATTAAATTTATTACATAAGAGTAGCAAATAACATGTAAAAAACAATTATTTTATTAAATAATTATCAATAATTTATTATTTTTGTTAAAAATATCAATAATTAATCCAAATTACTGTATTTCTAAAATATTTTTGTAATAAATTACTAAAATAAAAATAATTATTTTAAACAAAATTGTATTCCTTATAATGAGTTTTTGTTGCTTTAACTTCCCTTGACAAATCTAGTACATCTCACGAATCCCTATTTTAACAAGCGTAAATTTCTTAAACTACCCTTATGGTTTAGCTAATTGACTAAGTGTACCCTTATTGTTTGAAAATTGACTAACACTACCCTTACTGTTTCTGACAATTAACTAACTCTACCCCTGTTGTTAACGTCTGTTAATGCTCTGTCACAATACATGCACATGTGATCCCACATGACATACAAAATTTTAAAACCCAATATTGCCCTCGTACCTTGAGCCCCCACTCTCTCTCTTCTAAGACCTCCCCCTTTGCCTTTGTCCCCCTCTGGTCTCTCTCTCCATTCTCAACCTATCGTCTCTCTCTCCCCTCCGCCCCTTTGTTTTCGTTGAAAGAGGACTCATCACTGTTGCCAGAGTGAGAAGGGGATGCCACTAGTTCGCTGTTGTGTGTAGCTGCATCTTCACCTCTGCCTCTATCTCTCTTTGGTCTCTCTCTCCATTCTCAACCTCTCGTCTCTCTCTCTCTCCCCTCTACCCCTTTGTTTTCGTTCGAAGAGGGCTCATCGTCGCCGCCGGAGCGAGAAGGCGATGCCGCTAGTTCGCCGCTGTGTGCACCTGCATGTTCACCTCTGCCTCTATATCTCTCTTCGTTCTCAACCTCTTGTCTCTCTCTCTCTCTCTCTCTCTCCCCTCTGCCCCTCTGTTTTCGTTCAAAGAGGGCTCTTTGCCGCCGCCGGAGCGAGAAGGGGGTGCCATTGTGTGCATCTGCGTCTTCACCTCTGCCTCTGTCTCTCTCTGGTCTCTCTCTCCATTCCCAACCTCTCATCTCTCTCTCCCCTCTTTTCCTCTGTTTTCGTTCGAAGAGGGCTCATCGCAATCGCCGGAGCGAGAAGGGGTGCCACTGGTTTGCTGCTGTGTGCAGCTGTGTCTTCACCTTCGCCTCTGTCTCTCTCTCCATTCTCAACCTCTCATCTCTTTCTCCCCTCTGCCCCTTTGTTTTCGTTTGAAGAGGGCTCATCGTCGTCGCTGGAGCGAGAAGGGGGTGCCGCTAGTTCGCCGCTGTGTGCAGCTGCGTCTTCACCTCTACCTCTGTCTCTCTTTGGTCTCTCTCTCTCTCTCCCCTCCACCCCTCTATTTTCATTTGAAGAGGGCTCATTGCCGCCTTCAGAGCGAGAAGGAGGTGCCGCTGGTTTGCCGATGTGTGTAGCCGCTTCTTCACCTCCGCCTCTTTTGTCTCTCTCTCCATTATCGACCTCTCATCTCTCTATCCCCTTCGCCTCTTTATTTTCGTTCGAAGAGGGCTCATCGCCGTTGCTGGAGCAAGAACTTGAGGTGGGTCGAGTACAGGAGCTCGATGCACATGTCGATATGAAAGCTCCGATTGCAACCACATCAACTCTGTGTACTTGAGCCTCCCGTCGAATCCTGGTATAGGATTCCAAACCCTAACCCTGAAACCCTTTTGGGTTCTTTATGTACCTTACCATCGAGCTCCATATGTGCCAAATCCCAACTAGAAGAAACAACGTCCCTAGTAGAATGTGACCCTTGAACGATCCCATCTCTCCAACTCACCCACTGATAAACTTTGATCTCTAAGCTTCTTTATTCTTCTTTTCTGCTCGTTATGAAATATCAAAATCCCTATTTTTCTGCAACACAATTGCCGACATCTATTTCCCATAGTGTTAATCCAGATTTTCTTGTTACAATGGCAAGGATTTCAAGATTTATGCTCTCTATTTAAAATCATAAAGTGACCGAAATGTTTAAGAATCGAACTTCTACCTTAGATTTTAAATCGAAAACAGGAACAAAAATTCAAAAATTCTTTGCTCTATTTTCTAGTTTTTTTTTTGTCACAAATACTTTGACCTCATCAATTTTTTTGTTCGAACGCTAAATAAATCACCAAAAAAAAGATTTCTTTCCGCTTTTCTCTGTTTTATTTTGAAAATTTAAAGAAGAATAAAGGGTAAAATAGTCTTTTTCGCCTTTATGTTAAAGAACATTACCAATAAGGGTAGAATTAGTCGATTGTCGAAGCATAAGGATAGTGTTGGTCAATTTTAAAACAGTAAGAATAAACTTAGTCAATTAACTAAACCATAAGGGTAATTTAAGAAATTTACCCTTATATCACATTTTCCCGTGCACCGCACGGATCCTCGCTAGCTTTGTCAACAACTTGTTAATGTTAGAACACCTCGAAATTAGAATAGAAACAAAGGAAATTCGTGCAGATTATTATCGATGGTATCCAACGCGAACTTTGAAATCTGAGCCGTCCACGCAAGTAGATGTGAAAAAGGCGTCAAGGCGTGATACCCCGGTATACATGTTTTGGCGCCGCTGTGTTTCACCAGCTGCGCGTTGTCCGATCCCCTCGGCCTCTCTCTCCTCTCACTGTCTTGTTGCACTTTGCAGGCGAAACCCTAGAGTGCTGTAGGACAATTTCTCAACAATGGGTAAGACACCAACCCCCCCTCTCTCTATCTGTTTCCTACTGTCTACTGTTTTTTTCCCTTTTCTCTCTCTTGTCACTCTACAAGTCGATTGATTTATACCTGTTTATTTAGTTATTTGTTTGTTTGCTTATAGTTTTTGCTTATGTTATTGAATCTTTATTTTGATTGATTGGTTGATTCTCAGTTTGATTATATTGTGAATTTGGGTTCCTGATTTTTAGGTTTCTCACATCGTAATTTTTTTTTTTGTAAATTTTAAATATCTTTGAGCGCAAAATCTTATTTTTGTTTTATTTTACTATTGATGTAACATGCAAATGAGTTGTGCTATTAACATGTTTTTGTTCGATAAGAAGACAAAGGATGGATTCTGTCGGAGTGGGATGACAATGTCTTACAATTTGAACAAATATTGAGTACATTGAAATTGTTTGTTGGTTATATCAAGTCATATACAGGGATTTAGATGCTTCATTGAAATTTTTGGTTTATGGATTTTGAGACACATTAACTGCTTTAATTCCCTTTACTTTAATTGTGTTTGTTTTAATTTGCCTGGTTCTAGATATCGAGGAAGAGATCCGATCAAGCATCCAGTCACTGCAATTGGATTCTTCAGGTAATTATTCTAAAATGATGACCTAGTTGTTTTTTCCCTGTGAAGAGAGGGAAGATTTTGCTTATTTCTGCATCATTTTAATGCTCTCCGTGAATACATTGCTTTTGTGCAGAAGATAGTAATGAAGTGGCTTTTCCAGAAGAGGTTAAGGCAATAGAGGTTGAAAAACCTGATAAGCTGGAAGAAGGTAGGAAGCACTAGCTGGAGTTAGCTTGGAAAAATTTGACCATGCATGCTGAATTTAAATAGTTTAAACCTGACCATTGCAATGATTTTGAATTTAACATCGTCGTTCTATTTTTTTTTTTTTTTGGGTAAGCCGGTAAGGATTCTGCTTTCATCTGTAAGGATATTATTCCCCTGCTTGTTTTCTGGCAACCTGAGTGCTGGACTTTTTTGGTTCTCTCCCTGAAGTTAATACTTTCTTTTTTTCCTTTATTCCCCCAATACAAAATCAAGAAAGAGAAATTAGAGGATAGAATCTTCTGTGTGGGAAATTACCTCTTTTTTATTGTTGAATGGGAGACTACCATTTTGCAGCACTTCATGATACTGAGATAGCATTCTTATTAATTTGGGGGGGCTGATACCCAAGGGGGCAGGACAGGGGGAGAAATTGTGGATTTGAAGACAAGTGGTGTTGTTGGATTTTTGGGTGTATCAATACTTGTCACTACTCTATTCTGGTAAATGGTATGGTGAGGGACTTTTTTCCAACTTGCAGGGGTGTCAGGCAAGGGGATCCACTCTCACCCTTCCTTTTTACCTTAGTAGCTGATGTGATTAGTAGAATCATTACTAAGGTTGACAATGAAGATGCCATTAGGGGTTGGAAAATAGGGAGACACCAAGTCCCCGTCACCCACCTTCAGTTTGCAGATGGCCTAATGATCTTTTGTGAAGGAGGTTTTAGCGAAAATGTAGCAAACCTAAAGGAGCTAATCAAAGGATTTGAAAGTATTTTTAATTTGAGAATAAATTTGGAAAAGAACTGCATAGTGGGTATAAATTTGGAGGTAGGGGAGGTCGAGGCTATTGCGGAGTGTCTTGAGTGTTCCACCTCTGCTTGGCCTATGTCATATTTAGGGCTTCCTTTAGGGGTAAATCCTAGGGAGAGTAGATTTTGGACCCCAGTGATAGAAAAG